ATTATTATTAATAACAAGCAGTAATGTGGAAATGAGATAATAATGATTAGAAGATTGAGATTTATTGACATGTGGTTTTGGTATCTAGTTTGAGCAAATGAACTGTTATGATAATTGTGTATTAAAAACATCTTTAAAAGAAATCACATTTCTTTGCGTAACCAGGAAAAAAATCATTAGATACAGCTGTAGGCTAAATTCTACCTAGAGTCATGTATTGAAAGATTTAAGGTTATCCTCTCACACTGGTGCTGGTTTTAACTAACTGCTAAGCCTGTCCCTGAGCCTGGTTCTGCCAGAAGATTTACTCCCGTTAAAAGACATTTTTTCCATCCCACTGTTGCCAAAGCGCTGTTCATTGAGTGTTATCTAACTGTTAGGGTTTGGGGCTCTTTATGTTTTCTCTGTATTATTATTGTACAATATAAAGTGCCTTAATGTCAACATTTTGATAACCCTCAGGGTCAAGCATGACTTTGGATCAGTGGTTGGCATATTATACTGAGAAAACTGCAAGCAGCAGTACCAGTGACCAAGACACTGGCCAATTCCCAATAGGCACTTTTGCAATAGACTAACCGAGGTACCAGAGCTAAATTACTGCAGGACTAGATACCAGAGTGACACGTTGTTGTGGTTAGTCTGGAAATTCAGGTTAGTGGGAAACTGGGGTCAGGTCGTTTGCCATACACAACTGTGGATTCTTTTAGGCTAATTCTAATGTTATTGGGGGTTGTTTGTAGTAAAATAGGTAACCATGTGGTTGCCATATGGAAGAATAACATTTACCATAAATAACCACATAGTTTTGGATGATTATTCACATTTTATAGTATGGAGTTACGCTGGGGGGGGGAGTTGGGCTCATTATTAAAATCCTAGTGCTTAGTTGTCGCTTACTCCGAATGCCAGTGGCAGAACAGCTGCTGTGTTGAAGTGTAGAGGTGCTTAAAAACCACCAAATTCACTCTCTCAGATTTTTATTGCTTGTTTTTTTTTTTTCTTTACTTGGATAATGTTTCTGTGGTTCCGGAGGCCTGGTGTAAAACTGAACAGTTAAAGCTGTCATGTCATGGACAAGTTTAAGGGTTATTAATTCAGTTCAATGAATATTTTGCACAGAGACCTGTGGATTTACTGCAGGTCTTATCTTCTGTCATTTTCCCACTATTGACAGTGTGTTGCTTGTTCCGGCTCACTTATGCTTTCATATTCAGTTAGAGTTCTTCTCATTCAAAAATTCTTATGTCCTCTTATCTCGTCAATCGTTTTCTGACTACCGTCCATGGGCCAATCAATCTAAATATCCTTCAGGCATATTTTTGCTCACTCAACCACTCCCCCATCACCACATAGATCTTTAGATTGTTCTGGGAAACTTACCACCAGTGTCTACATTCCAGACAATATTATCCTTTATCTTCATTTTCAGCCTGTGTCTAGCTGTGACCTCACCCATGAGTCTGATTGTTACAAGCTCAACCCTGGGATTCAGTTTAAAGTTACTGAATAATGTTGAAAAAAACTGCCCATTATCACAGCTCTGGTGCAAATATCCTTAACAAGTAAATGGAAAGGGCTGGTTACCTTCCATTTTACATTTCCATACATTTTTCTCAAGTATACACAAGTTCCCCTGCAGGGAAAATTATGCACTTTCTCCACTAAATTGACCAGCCCAACATACCATGCTTGTCTTTAATAGCACACACAGCGGGAAGTCTGATATATCTGGAGAAAGAAAATAAGGCCAATCTGAGTCTGTCGCAGTTATGCATATTTAATTAATTCAATTTTTTTTCATCTCGACCACAAAAACAATTCCATCAGTCTTGGAAACGGCAAACTATTGAAATTTGGCCTTGTGGCCTTGACGTTGTATCTATTAATATCAGGATTAAAAAAATAATCATTCTTTATTTAATCTTCACAGTTTTGTTTCATTTGAATAAAAAAACTTATTTTATGGTGTTATACAGCTTTTGTTGTGGTGATTTGAACTGGAATACCAATAAATATATCTTTAAAATGAAAGGAAGAAATAATAAAACAACCTCTTGAGAGTCCTTCAATTATTTAGGGGCTTTGGGGCATGGAGCATGGCAGGCTCGGTGGAGCAGTGTTAAAGCTGAGGCACTTTGTGCTTGCAATCGGAGATGAAGAGGCTATTTGTCTGTGTAGTGTGCAAAGCTCTTATCAGGGATTTGTTTGTGGCACAACTTAATTTGCATAAATTTCTTGGAGTGTAAGATGAAAACTCTGCGCTCTTGGCTGGAGCAGGAGGAACAGATTGCCCTCACAATGCACATTCCTTCAAACAACTCAAATCGTTGTTCTAATGTGGAACTTAGATTAAGCTTTTCATCTCAATGGTCTGACCATTAAATATTTCTCCTTTTCTCCAAATTTTCACATGCAACAAGTATCCTGGCTGCTTATCTATCAAGTATTGAATCGTGAAGACTATTTGAAGTTTATTACAATTCCTATTTGTTACAGCTTATGACTAACAGCGTTTATGCCCTATGTTAACATTGTACTCAGGGATTGCTGAGATCTGAGAACATGATGACATGTAAGTGAGTCCTATACCCTCACTGAGCACAAAATGTTTATTTGACATTCCTACATTTAAATCAGTAACAAAAAACTAGCGATCTGGGATGTGTAACAACATTTTATTAAAACTATCTCTTTAATTTATATTTATTTATTTATTTATTTTTTACAAATTACAGCAAAATCATGTCAAGTATTACCAGTAAAATGTATGCAAACATAACTTTCCTTATTTTGGTCAGAGATATCAAGCTGGCCTATTAATGAAGTCGAGGTCCCAGTCTAGTTGGCCTTTGTGTGCTACTTGTTTGAAGTATTCTTTATACATACATCATTGCCCTGCTAAACTTGCAATTAAAAGATGTGCCTGCTGATATTCTGCGTGTTACGGATATGTGAATCTAAAGCCTGGCATATCTGCTTGTGTGATGTGAAAATTATTCCAGGGCCTTAATGCTCCATCAATTCCCAAAATAAAACAAGGACTGAAGGAAAGTTGGGAGTAAGATCTAGTGAAGAGTTTACGTATAATGCCAATGATGCCTGCAACCTACAGAGAGATCTTTGGGCTAACGTAAGCACAGCATCACATGCAAAGTTTAAGAGTGACAGGTAAATGGTTTTTAATAAAAGGTGCACATTGAATGGTTGTGGTAAAGCAAGAAAACTGCAGCTACTACCTGAATGAAAATGTTGCTGTATGGGTATAATTATTTTCTACCAAAAGAATTATGATCCTATATTGAAATATACGTGGGCCATTCATCTTGTCTGAAGCACTGAAATATTGGTGTCCGGGACACTGTGAGCCAAAAGCCATGCACTGTGAAGTTTTAAAAGCTTTTGCAAAGGTGTGTGTGTGTGTACACACACACACACACATATATATACATACATATATATATATTATATATATATATATATATATATGTATATGTATATGTATATATATATATATATATATATATATGTTATTAGGCTGTAGAGCATTACAGTGGCTGTTTTTGGATTCAGATCTATTCAAAAAAACACAGGACACAGTACTGTGGCATGCTGAAAAGATGAGCACATAGACGATTGGATGTGGAAAAAGTATAGTCAGAGAGTTGATAATACAACAAGCAGATTGTTCTCCAAAGCTATTTAAAGCACATGAATGAGCCCTGGGTGACTGGTTCCTTCATTTCCATGAACACATACACATATTAGTGTGTATGTGTTCATGGAAAGGCTGTAGGCACCTTCCCACATATATCCGCACTGCTACCCTAAAGGCTCACTGACCACTAGTGTTTATTTTTCTGTCTCTGAAAATGGTCCCAAACAGATTTACCTGTGCAATGTTTGCTAAAAACTACCCAGTTAGGGATGAAACAAACACCATGCAATGTTTTTGCTTAGGTTTGACAACCACTGGAATAAGAATTCAAATTTTAATGTAAAAAGTTTTTAAAAAGCGCTTATCCTGGTTATAGTCACGGAAACCCTGCCAGTGTGACCCTGGTGCGATAGTTCACCTGGATATTCACTGCTGAATATCCAGTAAACGCTTTCTTTCTGATAATGATAATAATAATAATGGAAGACAAAAAACACACGTGTAGAACCAATAGTCTTTTTATCCATTTTCCAATAAAAAATACATTCATACAGAAACTATTTTACAAAACAATTTCAAATGAAAAAATTTCATTATGCCATAAAATGAACAAAAATAGAGCCTCATATTTTCCATGTTTATCCAATAAAGATTCTCTAGCTAAAGATAGGGCATCTTTGCAGGTCAAGTTGGGGAAAAAATGACATGGCAAATAAAAAAACGTAATACTTAGTGAACACCAGAATTCAAAATTATTACAATTCAAGTGTCCAGAACAATTCACGTCTGAAAGTACTTGTTTTCTTCTTTTTTTTCTCTATTAAACATGATAGGCCACAGGTCTAGGCGATACTGATGTCATTTTAAAATGTACATTTTTTTTTCTGACTTTATTTTTTTTTTTCCCAAAAATCAAAACAAAGATGTTACAGAAGCAAATGAAAGGAGTATGGAGTGCATCTATTTTACAATAATTCTTTAGCCTTTTATCGTTCACATTTGGAAACAACACACTGCACTTGTTTTTGGTCCCACACCTGTTCAAAATAGAAGCTTCCTTACAAAATTCTCGTAGTTTACAATGTAACATGTCTTTGTGTTTCTCAGTGTAAAAACAAAAATAACATTGCAGACAAATGAATGTTCAACAGGTTCACCGGAGACGTGTTGAGTTTTAACAAGGCTACCTGTGATGTTGACAAAGTGAGACATTAAGTAACTGATGAATGAATGAATGTTCTTTCTAAAATGTTCCATCTGTCATAATTTTTGTATATAATAAAGCGGCGCCAAAATATTTCTACAAGTGGAGAAAGTGGCCATGAGATTATCCACTTGTGCTTTTTTTTGTTTCAGCTCACTGAGAAGTGTGACGAAGTCATGTTACCCATGTTGAAACATGAACATAGTGAAGTTGGTACAAACAGCTTGTCCTTGTCTCAGCTTAGGTTACCAGCACAGACCTCTAGCTCTGAAACACAGCTCAGCTGAACTGGTTGGACTGGTTTTTTGTACCGTAAAGTCAGATTGTGGGCTGTTAAAACTAGAACTGAGTAAAGACACTGACTCACCTTGGAGGTGAGACTTCCCGAAACATCCAATATCAAACCACTCTCGTGACTGAGAATGTGGTCATTAGCCTACTTTAAATGAGTCATCCTTTGCTTTTGAGAGTATATGCTTGACATAATGGACCCAATGTAAATGTTGCCTTTGCAGTAAATCTTGATTTGCCACTCTCGGTGGCTGACCACACAACATTTCATGAGAACGTGCTTCCAAGACTCTGTACCTTTGACAGCAAGTTACAGTTAATCTGAAGTGCATCCACGCAATCGTATACTACATAGTAGTAAATCAATATAAAAGTGAATTGCTTTTCCAAGTTCTCCACAATTCTGTCTCAGATCTGGATAATTTTGAAGACTATGATTTAGTTCTGAAATATCTATGATATATTTAACACAGACGTGTAAATGGCAGTCATTATGAAGCTGATATAGTTACTTTTGTTTTAATATTCAAGAGTTTAGAGGAGTTTGTCGCAAGGGAAAAGGGCAAAAGGTGCAACTGTATGGATCAGAGCCTTTATAAAGCTATTCAATAACGCACAACTGCATTCGCAATGGTCATTTGGTGTATGTGTGTATGTATAACAGAGTGATCTATTCAACAGGACAAGGCCACTTACATAAGGCATCGGTAAGGTCAACAGTGCATTTACAGACAGAACAAAAGAGAAAAGCAAAAGTGAAGAAAAAGGAAGAAAAATCCCACAATCAAAATATTTGCAAACAGTGGTATCCCCAATTTATAAAGAGAATGAAAGAAAAATATGGCAAAACAAAATGACTGCCTTATGTGTTTTGTACAATACTATGATACTGAGTATTATGAAGGTAGCTGCTCTTGAATGGAATTTTGTTGTCCTATAAGGTGAGCAACACATCCCCAGATCCCATGCAACTTCTGATATAATGGCAATAACTGTGCACAATTGTTGTTGTTTTTGTTTTTTTCCTTTTAAGATACAAAGCTTACACAGTGGAAAACAAAATGAGCTTTATAGCGTGTATGTTTTGAGACAGGCTACGTAATACATTGCACATTTAATAGCTGCACTAAACAAAACAACCTCCCATTTTTAGACAGGGAGCTGTAGTTTCACCTCCAGGCAGAAAGGGGGCAATCTCTATCCAATCAGCCCCACTAAACTACCCCCCTACTCCTCTCCACAGCTGACAGAATCAGTCATGACAGACAGAACTTTTTGCTTGCATTCATTCTTAGAGAGACAACACATAACCCTCCCTCAAAAAGAAAAATAAACCTCCCGAGTATAACATCACCCTTGCTATGTCATTCACTCGCAGTTCCACAATGCAAGCTCCATCCACTCCATAAAGCCAGCACAGGCATCCAGTTGCAGGCACTCACAGTCCCCATGCGCACAGGCAAACACACTGTCAGTGGAGGAATGGCACCCCAACCCCTGGAGTCCCAAATTTCTCCAGGAATAAAGCGTTGAACACCATACAGAAGAGTCTCTTCCCATCTTCTCCAGCCTAGATCTTTCCCATATTGGAGTCTCTTTTTGCCCTCCTGCTCCTCCATAAAAGCCTTTCAAGAGCAATCACCACAGCGAGGTGTTGGAGGCACTAAGTATGGTGCAAATAATAGCCTGCGTTGCTTCATGTTTTTCCACTGACTGGAACACGACGGTGCCCCTGTTAACGCTCCCAGGACACACCAGCCTCGCTGATCTCCACAGGTCAGGACAATTAACCCGAATCATCCCTCAGAGCTCTCAACATGAAGACCATCTTAGATGTGCCTCTTCATGTGCAGCGCCAGGTGGTCAGAACGGGAGAAACACCTAAGAAGAGAAGAAAAACATCAGATCCAGCCACTAAACTGAAGAACTAAACAAATGACTATAACTTGTTGAAGGTAATAAGTTGCTTATATTAACAACTAACTAGGCTACAATGACTAAGTAAAATGCTTCTAAATTCAACTGAATCAGTTAATAGACCAAAAAAACCCCGAAACACTGTAATAAACAAAGCTATCACTTCGGCTGCAGGAGATGAAGGGAAAGGAAATGAAAAATCTCATTTTTAATTGAAGGAGAATGTTCACACATCCATCCGAGACGCTAATCAACACAAGAACCCTGGGGTGGTTTGTTAACATGTGAAACCAGTGAAACAAACAATATAAAGCTTCTTTTTCACCCACCAAAGATGCTTGTTGGATTCCATTTAGATTAAAGTACCTATGGCTATGCAGCCAATTTTATTCTGCTTGTTTGGTATTGGATACTATTCTTACTCTCTGTGCTATATAACATGAACACGTGATAGATTGAAAGAATGGGCTCATGCCTCCCCCTTCCACCTAGTCCCTTATCCCAGTCTGTATAGGTTTGGCTGATGTTTTAAATAGCGCCCTGGTAGAAGAGACCCAAACTTCACGCTGTTCAGTCTCATCACACTCCTCCCATCCATTGTACTCAACTCTTTTTATCCACCCCCTTGACCTCAACCATTTTCATCCTTAACCTTCATTCATCCCTCCCACTAGCATGTCATTTTGATAAACTAATTTGCTGCTTTCTTTGTCAGTAAAGAAATGCTTGGCACTCAAAATATAAAGAAGGGGAGTAGTTCTTATGAAGAGGGGTTAAATTAATTTACAGCACTTTGTTTTGAGAGGCATTTGCTATTGTAACAAAAAAAAATGTGACTAATCATGGTGACATATGACAATAAAAACCATCTCACCTGTCGCAGTGACTGCATTTAAATGGCTTTGCTCCAGTGTGCTTCCTGAAGTGTCTGGTGAGTTCATCGCTTCGTGCAAAGCGCCACTCGCAGCCTTCCCATGAACACCTGTAAGGCTTCTCGCCTACAAGAATGAACATAAAGAAAAGCAAAATATTAAAGCCAGCCATGTCATTTTTCATCTGAGTTCAGAACCTTGCATTTACTTAGCTATTCAAGCAGCCTCTGCAGGTTTACCAGAGAGTTAAGAATTTCTAAATCATAATATGAATATTTTAAACTACAATTTCTCAGATATACAGCCAATATTTACAGTACAGGAGGTAAAATAAATATGATCCTGTGCAGGTGGTTAGCAGATTAGGCTGACTACTGTAAGATGAATAGAAAAACAACCTCGTGCCTTGTGGGCCTCAAGAGCTGTGGTATGCAGCTGTAAGAAGCTGTTAGAGTAGAAGGCTTATGTAACAGGGGGCGAGCTACATGAAAAAAATAGAGACTGTTCCTAATGGTCCTACAGACCATTAACCATCATTAACCATGTGGCTAACGTGGCTGGAGAACGATGCTAGGAATGTGACTTCCTCTGCTAATGGAGGGCCAAGCTGTAAACAGCCTGGCAGAGGTCAAAGGTGACAAGGGAAACTGCTCACATTTGAGCCTCTAACAAAACAGTGCAAATGTCAGATTCCCATAATGTTTCACTCTCTCTCTCTCTCTTTTTTTTTTGGGAAGTTGTATGCAAATGAGCGAGTTTCGGAAGCTTTTCCCATGGTGAAATCTGAGAACTGTTGATTTGTTTTCAGGATCCACATCCTCTGGGTGCTACTCGGCCACAAAAGAACATCCCTCCCCTTCGCGTCTCTCTCCCTCTCTCACGCACTCCCCGCCTCCCTTTGCCCTGCATGAAGTCACGTTCCTCTGTGTGAATTAGGTCATAGTTGAGGGCATTCCTCCTGACAAACTATTCAAAGTATGTGGGAGTATTTTTTTCAGAACTTTGAGCAATAACTCAGCGCTTCAGCTCGGCTATCGTCACTTTTGAAAGGCTCACTGTCAGGCCAGTTTACCTGTGTGTGTCCGCTGGTGTGCTTTGAGGTGCGAGCTCTTGGTGTACACCTTCCTGCATCCGTTGAAGTGACACCTGTGCACACGCCTCCTCCCGTCAGGTGATGCCTCCCCGCTGGTCAGACCTGACCTTTCCAGGCTCCTCTCCATGCCCCCAGCCCTTATTTTCCCTGTTGAATGCATCACTGTCTGTATCCCAATCCACGTCTGGGCTACAGAGCCCTCCTTGCCGAGCTCAGGTGAGGATGGTGGTGTGCTGATGATGCCAGAGGCCACGTCATCGCCGTTGTCGGCCAGAATATCAGTTAAAGAGCTGGAGGTGAAGTCGAGGGTAGGGGAGAGCTCCTCTGAGCTGTCCGAGGCCTCGCTGCTGGCATCGGAGTTGAAACCACCAGCATCATGGTTCTGGCTATCCTGATTGTCTTCCTCCTCCTTAATGTGGGTGATCTTTGGGTCCGACTCACTTGACTTGTCCCCGCAGGCAAGCAGCAGCTTGCTCCACAAGTCTTCCTGGGTCTCAAATTTAAGGTCTGTGGCTGAGACGTAAGGCTCGCTCTGGAGGTATCTCTCCAGCTCGAGACATGTCTGTGTAGATGAAAGACAAGATAGAAATGAGTTCAATGGAGCACAGAGCCAAAGGCGTGTAACAGAACTCTTACATTCAACCTGAAAGTCCTTAAAACCACCAAAAAAGACCATTTGTTTTTACAGGAAACACAAGACTCCGGTATTCTCCTCTGCACTGTATTTATTCTAAGCAGCAGCAAAAAAGGGGGTATGCTGTGACACTGTAACATCACCAGCCCTGTTTCTTCTCTGCCTGCAGGAATGAAGTAAGACACAATGTCCTATGCAGAGGATAGTCAAGTACACTCTAAGTGTGTTCTCTGAGCCCATATCAGGGAGGATTACAAGCACCACATTTCCTTCTGAGAGACTGCAAGAACAAGGTGCTCTTACCCACGAACGCAGGCATGGTTTGAATGTGTGTAGGTGTGTGCAGAGGTTGGTCATGAAATTTACATATGCTAAAGAGCCCCCCATTGGGTTAGGGAAGTGCTTGTAGATCTTTTAAATCTATCAATTATTCAACATAATGTGGATTTAATAATGCATTTGGAGGCATTGCTAGAAATAACATAGCACACCAGGGACTGAGTGGAGGGAGGTCTGGTTCATGGGGGTTCATAAAAAGCCTGGCATGAATACTGCAACAGCCACTGTGGATTGTGGGCCTGTTTTCTGTGAAAAGGAAGTGAGAGAGCACTTCCTTAACCCTCTGCAGTCAGCAAGCACAGGCCAGATACGAAGGCCACAAACAGGCCTGTGCAGTTTCCTAATGAAGCAAATATAAAATTACAGCCAAATGTTATTATAACAGAACTGACTGGAACAGTGGCAGCCAAAGCTTGAGGAAACCTGGATCCAAGAGGTCATGGGACAAATACATTTTTCGGACTTTTTCCAAACTCCTCCTAAAACTATTTATTCCCTTAGAGAGAAATTGACATTTTCCTAGTTGCTTGGAAGTTTATAGGGTCAAAATGAAAATGAAACTATCCGAGAGGGGACTATCCCTCTTTGGCTGATCTGGTTACAGGCAGCACAAGCATCACTTGACAAAACGCTAAAATAAAGGAAGAACGACAAATCTCACCAACAACATTTTTAAAATATTATAATAATACCATACTGAATAAATAAAGCTTATCTAGAGATGGAGGATGAGATGGAATAAAATTAAACCACAGGTACCAGGCAGCAACTACAAACACCTTTCGTGTGTGTGTATGTGTGTGTGTGTGTGTGTGTGTATATATATATATATATATATATATATATATATATATATATATATATATGTATGTGTGTGTGTATATATATATATATATATCTAAAAGAGGACTATCATGGGGAAATCTTCGTGTCTTGGGAATGAAAAAGAAGGCATTGACTTCATATGTTTCTTGTCAGCAGTGCTGGATAAATCCCAGGCGAGCTTTAAATGCCTGAGAGGGCGACTTGGAATGAAGCCCGGCCATATCTGATAGACGGGGAGACAGCGAAGACTGAAGAGTAAGGCCAATTCATTTCCCAATCTGAGCAAGAAGCGACTTGTACCCTTCCCGTCACTACCAGTGTAAAACTCCACTGTTTTGTCAACCAGGCCGCCTGGTCGAGCAACGGTTCAATAGAAACCAGCCTCTCTCTTATTCTCTCTCTTTCTGACAGTCTGTCACTCTCATTTGTATGTGTGGGTCCGTGTGACAGCAAGAGGGAGTGAGCGGCAGGCAGAGAGAAAGTCAGGAGGAGGAGATACGCGCAAAGGCGCACGGCTCGCCATTCACTCGCTAAATCTGCAACACGGCGTGTTTTTCATTTATCACAAACCGATGTGCCTGTATAACCTGCATGCCTGAGTCCACAATACGAGCAAACCACCACTGAACAACTGTGCGCGCGCCGTAGCACCAGAAAATACTGTAAAAGTACAACTAATTTAAAGCATATTTTATGAAATGCGCCAAAAAACTAAAGAAGACACGTAATAAGTCTGCATTTTTACAAACATACTAAAAAAAATACTGATCTGTCACGAGGGGAACTTGCACCATTTCCCCTATAACCGGAGGCAAACCAAGTTTTGAGAAATAAATTTATATTAGCTGCATTACTGAATCAAACGCGCGCTCACATTACATGAAACTACTCTGACATTTGCCAGTCGGCGCGCAGCTGTCACTTAAAACAAGTTTCTGGAAATTACGCACTCTGCTGGCACTTCACACATGAGCCTGTGGCACTATCTGTCAAACTGAGGAATCGAGTGTTTGGAATCAGTCGTCAGCCTACCTGCTGCCAATACTCTTCCAGAGATGGTAAAGCTGAAAAGTATCCAGTGTCGTGCACAATTTGGAGCTCCTGGAAGATGCTACACATAGGGATGACATCCATTTCACTCCTGAGATTTAGCCACAAGGATAAGCGAATTCAAGCTTGTGAGGAAACGAAGCCTGATGTGTTCAGAGAGAAGCTGGAGTCTTAGCTGTATTTGCATGTATACTAGTCTGGAGTCGTGCACTTCCAGTGGAGGTTTTGAGCGTGAGCGCACAACACCGAACTCTGCAAAAGTCCGTCAGCGCACTGTAAACTTCCCCCCCGATTCAAAATTACAGGCAAACCCACCCCCATGTGATTACATTACGTTACGGCACGTCTACCAATGGGCTTGCAGGAACTTTACAAAGGCCTACCAGACCACTTCCGACCAATAACGAGCGAGAGCAGAGTCATCCTGTGTGCCGTGATTGGTGCAGAGCTAGAAGCCTCTCTGGCTCCCATTGGACTAAATCAGCGCTATTTTTAGAACCGTATATAAGCGAGACTCTCGTTTTACCACAACGAGGAAGTTGAGTTTTCTACTGATTCGACTCTGAGCGTCAGCCGCTCCGGATCAGCGGCAGGAGAAGCGTCCGTCTCTAAATAGACATGGCTATCTTTATTTCCTCACACACGCACTAGTTACTCTCGTTCTCTTGGCGAGTTGCGCTATGAATCATACGAGCGTAAGTCTGTAAAGAAAATTGCTCTCCTGCCTGTAAAACGCAAGTTCATGACAACAATATTCAGACGCGTCTGCAGACTCGGGGGGATCATCAAGAACCTGATCAATTTCTGTGCTCTGTGAAACAAATGTGATAGACTTCATCTTTTCATGGCTGCCCAGAGATCCATGAGCATTATTATGAGTCTCTCTGTGACAGTGTAGACAATTTAATAAGCTATTAAGTTATAATAGAGTTGCCATAAAGATGATTATTCACATAATGCTGTGCGGGTTATTGTAGTGGCAGCAGCTTGAGGCATAGCGTGAGGGACAGGTTAGATTTTGCTGGGAATGATGCACATTGGCAGGCGCTGTGTGCGGATGTGTGCGTTTTAATGTCAGTCACCTGTGGCTCTCTTAAGAGCGTACTGCTTTTGCAGGAAAAAAGTGTATGACTGTAGTTGCTTGTAAAACCGCATCAACTTATTTCCTCTAGAAGGGGGAAAGTAGAACAGGTTAAAAACAGTGTTGCCACCCATGGTGCATGGTGAGAGTTCCTAATGCAAGACGGCAATATACCTCTACTCTAAAATGACACGTTATAAATACATTCTGGCACACTCCCAGAAATATATTTACCTCTTTCACTCCTTTGAATGTAAATTGCTTTGCTTTCCCACATCTCTCCTCCCAGAGATCAAAGAAACATGAATATTAATCTGTGTTAATACATGTACAAGTTGGTATATGATGAGATTTATGTCCTCCTTGTGTGCTATGCTTCATGCTTTATTATGTTGTTTGCATAAAAACTCAGTTCATTAAAAAAAGTCCCACAGGTGATAATTTCCACGTTTTGAAATACAGTTGATAGAAACTATAGCTTGTGCAAGAATTTGACTTTTATTTTGTTAAGTAGGGAGTCAGATTCCTCATATCCTGTCAGCAAATAAGGTTAACTGATACTTAAATCACTTTGAATGTGTCCTCTATCACTCCAAACACTATGACTAACACTGAGCTATCATTAAGATTATGAGTGCCTAGAATACTGTATACAGTAAATTTGAACAAAAATTCATACTGAATTACATAAGATGCGAGATTAAGTTAAAGTTAAGCAGAACAACAGTGGCATTGACAAGTTAAAGGCAGGCGATGTGACAAACAACATGTTTGGAACAGAGTGCCATTGTCTGGCACATCGGCCCGGTCGAGCGCCTCCACAGCGGAGTCTCTTTTGTTGAGCTCTCGGCTGTGGCCACATTTGCAGCACTCAGCAGCATCACATTTTCGCATGAGTCTGTGGGTTTTATGGACAGATAAGACTAGGATGGGTGCTCTGTCATGACATACATGACTAAAGGGAAGCATCACTGCAAAACTTTCAGGCTGTAAATTGGGACAACAGAATTTACAATGTTACAAACCATAAAGTCAGAACACTCTGATTATTATTACATAATTTTATAACATATGTTTTTATGCGTATATGAAAAATGAAGTTAGAGAATGGGAGACTGACCTCTTAAATATTAAGTGATGAGAAACTATGGCCCATTTCTTTACCCTCAGCTCAAATATACCAAGATGTTTAAAATGTGCACGATAAAAGTTACAAGAAGGTTTCCACACAACAGAGGCATTTACAATGCTGTGAAAAAAGTATTTGCCCCCTTCGTGAGTCCTTATTTTTTGCATATTTGCCACATAACATAAAAGGCTATATGTGATAAAGTAATTACCCCCTAATTGCTCCCCAAACTCATTGACTTGATGTGCCACCCTTGACAGCAAGAACTGCAATAAAATGTGTGTTGTAACTGGCAATGAATCTTTCACTTTTTCTGCAGATGGATTTTGACCCACTCTTCTTTGCAAAATTGTTTTAATTCAACCACATTGAGGGGTTTTCAAGCATGAACAGCCTGTTTAAAGCCATGCCAAATCATACACACATCCAGCTAATCCAAGTAGTTTGAGCTTTAGGGTGCAAATTAATAGCCAGAAATTCTCCTTTAGGATTTTCTGTTAGACAACAGAATCAATATGGCAAGGTTCCGAAGCAGCAGAACAGCCCCAAACCATCACACTACCATCATGATATTTGACTCTAGCACAAGGTTCTTTTGATGAAATGCTGTTTCTGGACTCAAACCTTCCAAAAAGTTCAACTTTTGTCTCATCAGTCCACCTGATTTATGTCAATGACTTGTTTCCAATCTGTTCTTGAGTTTCTTTACATTAGTTTGTTTAGCCTGCTTTAATTTATCAGGTTGTGTTTAAGTGATTTACTGATTGAGCAGGTCTGGCAGTGATCAGTGAAATAATGAAATTGAGCTCAGCTTCCCAGAAAATTAGGTTAATCATAGTTAATTCAAGATTTTATTTCAAGTAATTGAAACAATTACTTTTTCCACATACAGCCAAGTAGGTTTGGCTAGCTTTATTCCCTTAATACCGTGAACAAAATCCCATTTAAAAAAATAAAAATCCTTGTCTAAAATAAACACTTGTTTGATGGTGTGGAACATGTAAGTGTGAGAAATACGCAAATGATACGAAAGAGGAAGGTTTCAAATACATTTTCACAGCACTGTATATAAAATGGAATTAATCAAAGCTAAGCTACCACAGAATAAAAATGTAACACTTGTAAGCAGTTTGTGGCTGTCTGGATGAAGGTGCAAAGACACATCTGAACGCAATTTTCTTAAAAAGCTAACAGTGCCTAGCTTGATGCTAATGATGCTATGCATTGAAGAGAATGCTAATTGGCTGGAAAGTTTGCCTGAACAGGGAAAGAAACAATAACAGAGGTCACTGTGAGGAACAAGAGTAAAAAATAGATTATTGGACATGAGTAGTGTACCAGAGGATGAAATTGTAATGATGATGTTATGAAGAAAATAGAGAAGCAAGAAAAGCATATATCTCTAAGGAATAGAGAGATGATTAAACTTGTGTATTAACATCATATTTAATGTAAGTGATGGTAGGGAAATACCAGTACCTTAGAGCAGTGGTGCCCAAACCCTGGGCCACGTACTGGTCCGTGAGTCATTTGGTACCAGGCTGCAAGAGTTGAGGCTCGGGTGTGAGATTTATGGTTTTCAGGGTTTTTATCGTTAACTCGGTTTCCCTGGGTCTTTTCCCGTGTTGTAGTTGTGTCTTATTTTGAAATAAATAGTTACACGTTACCATAGCGACCAGAGAGCATTAAGGGGCAGAGAGGAGGATGTTACTCTCAATGTTGTTGACGCATTTCAGGAGGACGCTGCTAGTGAAGTTACACAATTACACAGTGAATTCGCGTTAATTATTATCTTTACAAAATACCACAGTTTTTGTCTTTGTCATATCATTTTATTTTGTTGTATTTATCCACGACACCTTAAGGCCAGTCCGTGAAAATATTGTCTGACATTAAACCGGTCCGTGGCGCAAAAAAGGTTAGGGACCGCTTACTTGGAGTATGTATCTGTGACCTGATTTATACTACTTAGGTACTATATATTAACTGGTATTACATATGGTTTCTGTTTTGTTTTACCAAGGATGCACAGTTTGTTTTTAATATGCTGCTGTAAGCAACTTCTCTCTGTTAAATACAGCTTGGACCCGCTGTTTCCATCAGCAGCACAGCATAAGCAGATTTTGTCTGCAGACTGAATATATTCATGTATCATTTGCATGTAGCATGAAAAAGGGATACAAATTATGTTAGAAATGCATTTTCATTGAGGGGAAATTATTATTATTTTCATTTGACTTGCATTAGTTATTGCAGTTGTGGCTTGTATGGAGCATGTTTTTCCCTTTATTGTACATTGACAATAAAGAGCTATTCTATTCTGTTGTCCCAAGAATGCAGTACAGTCACAACGTTTTAAAGTGACACTTTTGCTGTCATAAAAAACAAACAAAAAAAGCACTTCCTGCATGAAGTCTATATTTATCGTCTCTGTAGATATGTCATCAAATCAGATTCCTGCCAATTTTTTGTTCTGTGTGGTGGACGCTGATGCAAAGAAAACGAGTCATATAATTACAGTTGCCATGAGTTATCTTGGCTGCAGTGCACGTGGGATGCTGATCTGTGTTAGGATGAATCCATAGCAACAAAATATTGGGCATAAACAGCATGCAGGCAAGCAGCACAGATACTATCACGCCATCTATCCTGTGTGTATTTGAATATTTATCTGTCCTATGTCTCAACACTTCATATACAATGGCTTTCCTACCCGACACTGGGCAGGTTTGCAATTACGTAAACGATGCAAACAATACTGGTTCAGAAACGATTTATCAAAAATATCACATCACATGTAAAACAAAGGGTTTTCCATTTTTTCAGTCTACACCATAATTATTATTTTATTTTACACATAATTTTATTGACAATAAGACATGCTGCCATTTCTTTTAACACAGCTAACAGCTAAGAACACAACTTTGTATTCATACCACATGCTGCAAACTGAATAAGCAGCCAGTACATGACACAGGCCACAAAGTCAGGTCTTTTTTAAAAGTCTAACCATAGACAATGACAGGAATCAAGCAGAGAAAACAACCCATTGCCTGTTTTGCATCCACTACACACAATT